AAATATCCCAATGCCAAGCAAAATAAATTCCAAGATGTCATGCTGGACTGTGGTGACATCACAAACGGCGTGATGACCAGTCTCGTACCTCCAGCGTGGAGCCGCCGGGGCAGTGTCCAGTCACTGCGGTTCCGATTCCAGAACGTGGCTCCTCTCAGCAGCTGCCAGGCGGCGAGGCAGGAAGATGCAGTGTTGGGAGAAGTTCACCAGTAAAAACATGCTCAGTATGGCCACAGGAGCTGGGGCCATCTACCTGCTGTACAGGACCATCCAAGCAGGACTGGACAGCCCTCCCTTCAGCATGGAGCCTGTCAGCATTGCCAGTGAGTAGCGGCAACGGATTTCAGCTTCCGCAGAGACAGAGAAGGCAGCAGTGCCCATCTGAACCCCTCGCAACTGCTCCTCTCCCTGGCAGGGGGCTCAGCCCATGTGGCAGGGACAGCCTTCTGGCAGAAGGTTTCAGGCCACCAAGGACAAGGACCTACTCCCCTTGCTCCCAGCCTGTGACCCTCGTACAATTGCTGGCATAGGCAATGCGGGAACTTTAGGGAACAGCAGTCTGAATGTTAGTCCCGGCCCTGCCACCGGCCCCAGCAAATTGCTTGCCCCATCTCTTCGATGTGGGCCTCAGGCATAGTCCTGGATTCAGGGAGCCCCAAATGCAGGAGAAGGCTGGAGCCAGATGTAACTTAGGACCATCTCTAGTCATAACAATGAGCCTGCTCAGGGGGTCTCGGGGGCCCTAGAGCTAGTTAGCTAGTGTCAGGAGGATGCATGGAGGGTCTAAGACCCTGTGTAGTTGTTATCACATACGCTCAACACTGCTGTTAAAGGCACATGCAGTATTTATGTTGGTTAGAGCAGAACATTTGTTCCAACATGTCCCTATTATTATACTAACGCCCGCTGTTCCTGCTTTTATTCTTTGCCTTTATTTAGCATGAGGTTGTGGTGACCATCAATGTTCGTTTCTCCGTCCCAAGAAAGCGTCACTCCATTCCTGCTGCCAGCGGGACCCCTCTCCCTGGTGTCATCCATGTGCATCCATATCCATTTCATCCATGTCTTGTTTCAGTTCAAGTTCAAAAGACCTTTGGGGGTTTGGGTTCAAGTTGTCCATGGCATTTGCACTCCCAGAACCTGCCTGAAATCTCAGTGGGGCGCAAGGGCTGGGATGGACACCCTGAGTTCCTCCTGGGGCTGGAAGGAGACATGCAAAGCTCAGCCAAGTGGCTGTGAACTTTGGCAAAGCTTTTGGCAACGCTGCTCTGAAGGTGGGGTTTGGAGCAAGACCTCTTGGCCATGCCTGTCCCTGGCCTTTGTCACACATGGTCCAATATTTGGGCAAGGGAGTCTATTCATGTTTCACCATATGAAAAGCCCAGATCCTGGACTGGCGGCTTCACTCTGGGGCCTACGTTCTGCTCATTACTGATTGCTCATCCCCAGAACTCGCTGTGCAGCAAGAGAATTTAGGTCCGAAGGATTCTGGAGAGCTGCGGAGGCTCCTGATGTCCCTGAACCAGAAGCAGGATGAATACGCCAAGAGCATGATACTACACAGCATCACGCGCTGCGTTTACCTGCTGGAGTCGGAGGTGAGCCCGCGGCTGGAGGTGCTTCCCTGAAAGAAAGCACAACTAAACCGGAGACCTGCCTATGCCAGACCATGAGGTCCCTGTGGCTCTGGGGAGGTTCAGATCCAGAGCAGACCTTTTCTTCAGGCTTCTCTTTCCAATCAGTGCTTTCCCAGCTCTAGGGAGGGAAGCACAGGCCAGCAAAGACTCCCAAGCCAGCCTCCGAGCTGTATGCTGGCTGCTAGGAGAAAGGAGGAGTCAAGGGCAGAAGGGAGGAACGGGGGCAATTCCTAAGCTGAATTTGTCCCTTGTGGGCATTTCCCAGGTTTTCAGTGGATTCTGCTTGCTGCTCCACCATGGCAAAGACTCTTGCCAGGATTAGGCGAGAAGGAAGCTGATGAATTTGCCTTTGAACAAATTGTGGGCCCAAGCAGAAAGGCCTAGGTTTAGACTGCATTGCAGGCATCTGAAGGGGCTCAGGGTTGGGAATTTGATCAAGTCCTCTCTCAGATGTTCCTAAAGGTCAAGCATAGCCTATGCTCGGCATCCTCAGCTGCAGAGGGTTTGATGCCTGGGTATGTTCAGAGCCTGCCGGTTGCTCCCCACAGCACCACTGAACCCACTACCTACAAAGACAGATCCCAGTGCTCAGAGGGACTTTCAGACTCTGAAAGGCAGCAGCACTTTCAGAAATCAATCCCTGGCTGCAG